ATGCTCGTTGGTATTTTCTACAACAGGTTATGAGAACGTTAGATGTTGCAACTGAATTAAACACGGGTCCACAATACAGTATTAACAATCAATTATTAACGTACTTTGGTTATAATGAAGCAACTTATTTTTTATGTTAAATTATTTGTGTTTCCCAGGCTGCAAACGTCTGTCCGATGACATGTACCATTTTTCTTAGCATAATCATTTTAAGCACGGTCACAATCACAACACCAGGAACAAATATTACAAAAATATTTCACGTTACGGCGAATTGTCACATCTCATTCAAACATTGCTCTATTTACGTCAACAATAAGTTGAAAGTCATACCCAACTATCCACAAAACACGAATGCACCAATCTACCTACATTGACAACGAAGAAACAAATGAACATGGAGCTTCTTTTCATGACCTCACACCAATATCAGTCAAGACTAATTATTAACATATGAAGGCTGCAACATTCCCCCCCAGATAAAAATAAAAGTCTCCGCTGTGCGTGTACATATTTTCAATGGATAAACAAAAGCCATGGGGCACATCCACTGAATACCAAGCCTTGCATCTGAGAGCGTAGGAGGGTGTCTATCTCTTCTTCCATTGTCTCGAGAAAGACAAATTATACATGTAGTAAGCGGACCACTGCAGCTGCAGAATAGTATGATAAATTCCATATAATGCAAACATCTATATTCATGAATCATCTCTCTGCTAATTCAACTCTTCCAGTCTGGAGTCTATATAAGCACATTTCCACCCTGTGCGTTATACTTGAATCATGAATCATATAAGTTTCCGACCAATACATTCACCCAATAGACAGCACTCACCCAAAATATAGCACTCTAAGCGAACCATGTATTGTGTTTATGTGTCCACTCAGATGCACCTTTAATGTCTTAAATATATTCAGGAAATAAGGAATTCCATGTTAAGCCTGTTACAATTAAGGACGTTTGTAATTTCCGTTTAATTAGCTTGGCTTTCTTGATCAGCTCGGAAGTGACTAATAACATGTTTTGTGTGCTGAAACTCGTGAAAGTATTGTTCATGTGATAACAGGTTACAATAGTGAACATTTTTCCCTCTTTTTCACTATTAGTGCATCAATCTAGATTTGAAGCTTTCTCTCTGGTTCTTTCGGTAAAGAACCAGAGAGTATTAGTGCATCGTTAATTTATGAGCCCCCTACGACGAAGTTTCCACAGGGGGTGCATGAATACGAAAATACTATTTCAGATGTAATCCCTAAAGTTCACCATCAACAGTGCTTAAACAAAAGCTATCAGCATGGTTGGAAGTGTGCCACTTATACAATATTGCACCCATGGCACATTACGAGCTGTTAAATTAACCAAATGCAGTTCACTTCACGAAATTTACTGCGGTACTTGGATGGTGGATGGCAATTGTAAATATATCCAAATAAACCTTTATATATAATTAGCAAGACTTCAAGACAAGTCTATTTTTTAACGGAAACCTTGGTTTAAATAATTACTAGAGAAAATCGATACCAATATATTTCCATGATACCATAAGCCGTATACATTTTAATACATCGGTAATTCTAGCTAATGCACTGCTGTACACTTTACTATCCATTTCTTAAGTCTACTGCTGGATGATTGCTTCTGCATGCCGTGCAGATCGTGGGGGTAAATTTGACTTTACTTCTCAACGTGATTCAGTGCAGGTTGATGTGATGATTAGGAGGGTCATACAGGACGTCGTACTCAGATTGTAAATGTTGCGGATTTGCTCTCCAACACACCGGTGTGCTGTACTAGTAACGAATTGGCACGTTGTGTTTATGTGACAAACCTTACCAATAGGCTTGTCGGGTGGTGGGGTTTTAACGACACATTTATATTTACGAGATCTAACCCAAAAAACCTACACTATTGGAGGACAATGGCTTTTACTGCCACTGTCTTCTGCCGACAACGTAATGCTGCAGCAGCCTGCAAGCCCTGTAATTTGCGTTGGCCGTCGCCAATCCAACTAACCACTTTCCATTCTCATTCCTGCTTACCTTCTGTGAGATTTGGTCAAAGGCGAGTTCAATACAATCCCAGGAAATATGGTCTCAAACAAAAAAATACCACAGGAAAAGCTGTACCAGCCGGAGGTATGCTGGACAGAAACCATTGAGTTGGCTCGTGAGGATAGTGCTCTGGCTTGTGTTGACTTATGAGACCTGCATAGCATTAAGACACATTCCCCCATATGACGTGCACACAGATAACGCGACTATCACGTGCTAATGCAAGATGTTTATCTTCACGTTGGGTGACCTTATATCAGCCCTACATTTACAGTCAACAACTACCCAGTTTCACAAAGTAGATAATTAACTGTTGAATTACGGCATTATGTATCCTTAGAATATAATAATAATCTGCAAGCAGAGTTTGAATGTGTTGATACACGTTCAGGCAAGAATGAAACACTTTCAAAATTCCCAGGAAATTACAAACCTTGAGCAAAACCCCAAAGCATGCCATTCTTGGAGGAATTTAAATTAAATCAAACCACTATTCTTGCATACCACTGGGATTTTTGCACACATCGTTGGTGTACGGTGCTATTTCAGGAATATTTTGATGTTTTTTTTCCTGCATTTTCTGTTTGCAGTCACATAGTCACTTTAAGATGTTTTCTTGTTCATGTTTTTTGTTTGTTGCGGTTGCACCCGATTCAAGAGCCGAATGGCTCACAGTGCTATACCAAATAAATGGAACTATCGCACTTGCAGAGTAGTCTACAATCACAAATCACGCCATAGCAATATGCAAACTGAGGTTTGATTTGCGGGGGTGTACTGTATTTTACCGTCATGGAACAGAGACAGCTACACCAACGCAGTGAAAATGAGGATGGCCTGCACGCGGCCACAGGAATGTGGAAATACCACTGGCTAGCTCAGCTCATGCTAATTGAGCAGAGTAACACTCAATGCTTACTCGACCACGGAAATACCTGCAGAAACAATACTGTACCGATCTAGTTTTGAAAAACTAACTTTTTCCTGTTTAATAAAAAAACACACAACTGAGAAGTGCGCAAGATAGTGCAGTTTAATTTGCTCTAGTCAAGGTAATGGGTTAGAATGACTGAACAACCGCATCTACAATCTTGTCGCCGTATTTCAGATTACTGGGTAAGATGTTATACTAGCGGTATGATAAATTACTCCACTTACTATAATTAATTTCTTACGATTTTTTTCATGTTTCGTGAACAGTCTACTACCCGCTTTTATTATATATCCTGGAACTGAGTGAAATCTAGATTTTGAAGTAATATTTTGAATATCAAAACGATTGCATTTTTTTTCACCCGAATACAACTTGTTTGAGGGGAAAAAATCACATTGGTAAACCAAACAAATGCATATTAATTATACGTTAGATTTAATTCACCTCGTGTTAAACAGAGCACTGGATTTAATACATTTGCATATCCTTCAGAACAATTTCACAAACCGTTGTATCAGAACACAACAGTAACATCACATCTTCACCCATGGTTCAAATAATTATGAAGACCTCCCCATAAAGATGCCATCTCTCGTGGCCTTACGATGCCAAGCTCATTCCTTGCGTACATACTCATCTCATCGCAACATCTCCGCGGTGGTCATTCCATGAGGCGTTATCTCCTCTCTCTTGGCCGTGTAAATCTCTTTTCTCTTGGCTGCAATTCCGTCACCAGTGTCATCGATCGGTCACCGTGCCTTTTAACAAGAGCCCCACACTTCTCTCAAATGAATGTCTACGATTTGCATATCGTTCCAAGCCACGTGCTTCTCGTCATCAGTGTCATTAAAAAAAAATCGAATATGCCAAGTTGCTTTGCACAGGCGAGGGAGGGGTGGAGAAAGCGGCCAAGAGGGCCCGATATTTAATCCTTGGAACCAGGGCCCATGTCAACCACGCTACACCACTGTGACCCACAGACTATCATAGTAATCCGCAGACTCACATTTAGACCCAAACACATACACAGTGATAAACCAACTGAGAGACCCAAAGACTAGCATAGGCACCTATAGACGAGTATAGGACTCTTAGACTTAACACTGGACCCAGTCAGTGGCCTTAGGTGTCGACTGTGTTTGGCAATGCAACTGGTACCGGGGCCTACATGCCGGAGGGGCACACGCGCTAGGCTGTAAAAAGGTAAGGCGGACCGGGAGGGGAGGGGCTAGCCCATTCCATTCCTTGAACTCGGGCCCATGCCACGTGCCCCCGACTTCCTCTATTCTCGGTGCCCTCTGCAGTTGAGGGGGGGGGGGGTTCAAACCAATGACGAATACAGCACGTCTCTGCTGGAGTCGAAATACAGGGGTCGGTACGCGTTGCCCCCACAAAGTTGATTTTTTTTTAAGCTCGTTGGAATTCGAGCAGGAGACGCCAACAGATGCGACAAAGCCACCCTCAGGCGCAAGCTTCTCGTCGGTTCTTGGAAGTTAAGCAGAATAACCCCCGATTAGTATTTAAGACGGGAGCAGCCGCTGCATTCGTAAAACTGTACACCGCACTCGGCGTTGAATGCCAGATGGCGGAGTGGCAATAGATTGTTGAATCAATCTGTGCAAAGCTTTTCAGTGTTACCTCCTTGTATGCATGGTGGGTTATGCCCGGTTTTCTCTTACATACTCATCCTGGAATTTGCCAAACATACCAGAATTCGAATATGTATTTATACTGGAGGATTCCGATGAGCTATAAAGTTATTTTTCACAGATGTCCAGGCGGACCCCCCCCCCCGCCACTGAAAAGGAGTCTTCAAACTCGGTATATTTGCAGGGCGATCAATATTCGAAGGCTTATGACCAAATCTCTCCAGGAAATGCGCCCAATGTCAGCTCAACAATCTACAGCCCGGACCCGTCTTTGGGTTGTCGTGTTATAAGCGGCATAACATTTACATTCCGAGAAAGGGAGACAAGAATGGAGACGTCTTTTGGGAGACGTGGGTTTTGCTTACCTAATGTAGAAAAATCGGCGAGTGTTGCAGAGGTCATGAGGAAGTTCTCCGAGCAGGTTAAACGGAGAGAAGCCTCAGAAAATTCTAGAGAGGGCACGAGATGTGGGCTTGGCATATTCTCAAGAGATAAAAGCTGAAGTCCTGTAAAGAGTCAATTGGCATTTTTTTAAAAAGAATATTCTATATCATATCACCTAAAATGTTCTCGGTTTCGGAAGTAGGAATGAGTCTGGTTATTGCTTGGACGGGTGATATGGCATACACAACTCAAAGCAGCTACGCCATGGGCAGCCAAGGCAGTGGGAGTGCAGCAAACATTATTATTGAACTGCACTCCTATGGGCCCCCCGACTTTACAAAAGTTAGTGACTCACCAGCATGGTGAGGTATGGTCAAAGAGCGTCCACCACGACCCAACGGAGCTGTAAATGCACAATGTCACATTCTATGGGACCCTTATTGCCAGTGTCAAGATGGGAAAAAGATCCATAAGTTTTTTGGGTTAGATCGCGTAAATATTTAACCCCCCCAAAATACCCCTATATTATATTTGTATGTATTATTGGATCGATTTGTTTGCCTTTCGTGTACTTTGCACTCGTTTGTTGTTCTAACATTCTTACCCCCCTCGTCCAACCAAAAACGCCATGAACCTTAACTGGTAACATCTGTAGGGGTGGGGGGAGGGGAAGAGCTTCACAGCTCATCGGATTCCCCATCCTCATCCTCCTCCTCCTCGTGCAGCCGAAGATTTCGCGATCGCGTGGCCGCGTGCGCATGGCGGGGGCCCTCTTCCTGACGGCGACGTCATCAGCGTTCGCCGAGGCGTCGTCGTTCGCGACGTGAACGAAAACATTCACGGCTCGCTCACGGCGATCGTCAAGGGGGCTGTGGCCGCACGTCGGGGTCCTTCGCCGTTTACACTTCGCCGAGCGTTGACTCTCTTCGCCAAACACCTCACCTTTGGAGTAGAGACTTTCCGGAGAATTGAGGTCCATATCCGTGCCGAGCAGAGGGATGAAATCAGAAGGCATTGTACGCACGGCAGCGTCGGCGCGACGTTCACGCCGATGGTCTTATACCTCCCTCAGAAAATAAAAAATACGCTCTATTTAAAGTACAAAAAATAAACTGAACGCGCGTTAACGAGAGATATCACAATTAGCCCCGTTGGGTGAATAAATTACGGCCGAGGTGTGCGAGCAATGATGGGCGGGCTCTGGTATTGTGTTGGCTGCGTCACCTCACGACGCTCGCTGAGGGGAAAAAAAACTCGCACCCCCCCCCCCCACTACTGAATAAATATAAATAGAAATGTCGCTACGTTTGCTATGATTATTGTCGTTAATAATATGACGTAAATATATAAAAACAAATATAACAGCAACAATTAAAAATTGAAGCGCGCGCTCTCTCAACCGTTTGGTTCGGGCGGGAGAAGCGGGGCGCGCGCTGCAGGCGGAAAGCGAGCGGCGCGCGACTGCGACTCCCTCTCCCTCGCGCTCGCTCGCACACTCTCCCCTCCTCCCCCTCTCCCTCACTCTCCCCTCCAGCTCCTCCCCCTCCCTCTCTCCCCTCCAGCGCCTCCCGCTCTCCCTCACTCTCCCCTCCAGCTCCTCCCCCTCTCGCTCACTCTCCCCTCCAGCTCCTCTCCCTCATGCTCCCCTCCAGCTCCTCCCCCTCACTCTCTCTCCAGCTCCTCTCCCTCACTCTCTCTCCAGCTCCTCCCCCTCTCCCTCACTCTCCAGCTCCTCTCCCTCACTCTCTCTCCAGCTCCTCCCCCTCTCCCTCACTCTCTCTCTCCAGCTCCTCCTCTCCCTCACTCTCTCCAGCTCCTCCTCCTCTCCCTCACTCTCCCCTCCAGCTCCTCCCCCTCTCCCTCACTCTCTCTCTCCAGCTCCTCCTCCTCTCCCTCACGCTCTCTCTCCAGCTCCTCCCCCTCTCCCTCACTCTCTCTCTCCAGCTCCTCCCCCTCTCCCTCACTCTCTCTCCAGCTCCTCCTCTCCCTCACTCTCCCCTCCAGCTCCTCCCCCTCTCCCTCACTCTCCACTCCAGCTCCTCCCCCTCTCCCTCACTCTCCCCTCCAGCTCCTCCCCCTCTCCCTCACTCTCCCCTCCAGCTCCTCCCCCTCTCCCTCACTCTCCTCTCCAGCTCCTCCCCCTCTCCCTCACGCTCCCATCCAGCTCCTCCCCCTCTCCCTCACTCTCTCTCCAGCTCCTCCCCCTCTCCCTCACTCTCTCTCCAGCTCCTCCCCCTATCCCTCACTCTCTCTCCAGCTCCTCCCCCTCACTCTCTCTCCAGCTCCTCCTCCTCTCCCTCACTCTCTCTCCAGCTCCTCCTCTCCCTCACTCTCTCTCCAGCTCCTCCTCCTCTCCCTCACTCTCCCCTCCAGCTCCTCCCCCTCTCCCTCACTCTCTCTCCAGCTCCTCCTCCTCTCCTTCACTCTCCCCTCCAGCTCCTCCCCCTCTCCCTCACTCTCTCTCCAGCTCCTCCTCCTCTCCCTCACTCTCTCTCCAGCTCCTCCCCCTCTCCCTCACTCTCTCTCCAGCTCCTCCCCCTCTCCCTCACTCTCTCTCCAGCTCCTCCTCTCCCTCACTCTCCCCTCCAGCTCCTCCTCTCCCTCACTCTCCCCTCCAGCTCCTCCCCCTCTCCCTCACTCTCTCTCCAGCTCCTCCCCCTCTCCCTCACTCTCTCTCCAGCTCCTCCTCCTCTCCCTCCCTCTCCCCAGCGACTCCCCCTCTCCTTCACTCTCTCTCCAGCTCCTCCCCCTCTCCCTAACTCTCTCTCCAGCTCCTCCCCCTCTCCCTCACTCTCTCCAGCTCCTCCCCCTCTCTCTCCAGCTCCTCCTCCTCTCCCTCCCTCTCTCCAGCTCCTCCTCCTCTCCCTCACTCTCCCCAGCGACTCCCCCTCTCCCTCCCTCTCTCTCTCCCCGTCCCAACCCTCACATAACCCTCGTGACCCCCCCACCCCCTCCGCTCTCGGACTCATTGCGCACGCGCGCGACGAGAGGGGCGGGGCTTATTGGGGAGGGTGGGGGTAGGGTGGGTGACGCGTTGGTGGAAGTAGGTGAAGGGAGGGGAAACGGGAGGTGGGGGGGGGTGCTACGGGTCGCGCGCGGTGCCAATTCCGCTGTATTTACGAAATGCGTCCACGTTGCTTTGCGGGCTATGGTAATGCTGCAATAGACGCATGCAGCGGAAGTCCCAATGTCTCTTTTGTCACCAGACCGTGGCAGCGGTATCGGGGCTGCAGCTCTCTGATGCACTCTGGTTGGGGCGAGCAATGAAACGGTTGTGTACAGTACATCGCTTTTTTGCCAGTCCACTGTGAGTCCAGGTGGTTATTTGGCTATGGATTGGCGGGTAATTTGATGGCTAAACGGATGGATGAGTCGGTGACTTAATTCGATGGATGAATCTGTGGGTGATTAGATTGATAGATGGGTGACTAGATGGGTGGGTGACTGGATGGATGAATGTGTGGGTGATTAGGTTGATAGATGGGTGGGTGACTGGATGGATGAATGTGTGGGTGATTAGATTGATAGATGGGTGACTAGATGGGTGGATGAATGTGTGGGTGATTAGGTTGATAGATGGGTGTGTGACTGGATGGAGGAATGTGTGGGTGATTAGGTTGCTAGATGGGTGACTGGATGGGTGGGTGACTGGATGGATGAATGTGTGGGTGATTAGATTGATAGATGGGTGACTGGATGGGTGGGTGACTGGATGGATGAATGTGTGGGTGATTAGATTGATAGATGGGTGGGTGACTGGATGGATGAATTTGTGGGTGATTAGATTGATAGATGGGTGGGTGACTGGATGGATGAATGTGTGGGTGATTAGATTGATAGATGGGTGGGTTACTGGATGGATGAATTTGTGGGTGATTAGATTGATAGATGGGTGGGTGACTGGATGGATGAATGTGTGGGTGATTAGGTTGATAGATGGGTGACTGGATGGATGAATGTGTGGGTGATTAGATTGATAGATGGGTGACTGGATGGGTGGGTGACTGGATGGATGAATGTGTGGGTGATTAGATTGATAGATGGGTGGGTGACTGGATGGATGAATGTGGGGGTGATTAGATTGATAGATGGGTGACTAGATGGGTGGGTGACTGGATGGATGAATGTGTGGGTGATTAGGTTGATAGATGGGTGTGTGACTGGATGGATGAATGTGTGGGTTATTAGGTTGCTAGATGGGTGACTGGATGGGTTGGTGACTGGATGGATGAATGTGTGGGTGATTAGATTGATAGATGGGTGACTGGATGGGTGGGTGACTGGATGGATGAATGTGTGGGTGATTAGATTGATATATGGGTGGGTGACTGGATGGATGAATTTGTGGGTGATTAGATTGATAGATGGGTGGGTGACTGGATGGATGAATTTGTGGGTGATTAGATTGATAGATGGGTGGGTGACTGGATGGATGAATGTGTGGGTGATTAGATTGATAGATGGGTGGGTGACTGGATGGATGAATGTGTGGGTGATTAGATTGATAGATGGGTGGGTGACTGGATTGATGAATGTGTGGGTGATTAGATTGATAGATGGGTGGGTGACTGGATGGATGAATGTGTGGGTGATTAGATTGATAGATGGGTGGGTGACTGGATGGATGAATGTGTGGGTGATTAGATTGATAGATGGGTGACTAGATGGGTGGGTGACTGGATGGATGAATGTGTGGGTGATTAGGTTGATAGATGGGTGTGTGACTGGATGGATTAATGTGTGGGTGATTAGGTTGCTAGATGGGTGACTGGATGGGTGGGTGACTGGATGGATGAATGTGTGGGTGATTAGATTGATAGATGGGTGGGTGACTGGATGGATGAATTTGTGGGTGATTAGATTGATAGATGGGTGGGTGACTGGATGGATGAATTTGTGGGTGATTAGATTGATAGATGGGTGGGTGACTGGATGGATGAATGTGTGGGTGATTAGATTGATAGATGGGTGGGTGACTGGATGGATGAATGTGTGGGTGATTAGATTGATAGATGGGTGGGTGACTGGATTGATGAATGTGTGGGTGATTAGATTGATAGATGGGTGGGTGACTGGATGGATGAATGTGTGGGTGATTAGATTGATAGATGGGTGGGTGACTGGATGGATGAATGTGTGGGTGATTAGATTGATAGATAGGTGACTGGATGTGTGGGTGACTGGATGGATGAATGTGTGGGTGATTAGATTGATAGATGGGTGACTGGATGGGTGGGTGACTGGATGGATGAATATGTGGGTGATTCGAGGAAATAGATGTTTGGCAAGATGGATGAATGCGTGAGTGACTAGCTAGATAGATGGTAACTAGATGAGTGACTCACTGGATGGATTGGTGAGTAGCTAGATGGATGAATGCGTGGGTGACTCGTAGGATGGGTGGGTGACTGGATGGGTGAGGAATGAGGTGGGCAGATTTTGGGCGCCATGGCGCGTCACGAGCGCCACCTCCTGGTAACCTACGTTAGGTGCGTATCGTGGCCCTGCATGCATTGTTATTAGACATCTCAGAATCATACCTCTTTAGACTGCAGGAATCCGATTATCAATTAAGATCTTTTTCACAGATGTCCAGTTGACATGATTGTAAAAATATATCCCCTTTTAAGATGCAACCATATGTTACCATGACGGTTTAACGTTTTAGCCAAGAACCCTCTCCAGATTTCCATAAATGTTAATCTATGGCCAAACCAGCCGGAATGCTTCCCATTTCGCCAGATCGAGCTGAATGCCAATGTCGAGGTCTGACAGCCACAAGAACTCTGCAGGAAAGAGTTTGTGTCGTTTTGATGCTCCTCCGTTGAAAGAGCAGAGCCTACAGTGGATTACTATATCATAATAATTTCATTTTCTATAGCGTCATTCATGCAATTGCATCCCACAACGCTGCACATCAATTATCCAGTTCCGTACACAGGGAATTAAAAAAAACACTACTGTACTTATAAAATATGAAAAAATCCATACGTAAATTGCCAGTGTATGCCAGGACGAACAAATAGGCCTTTAGTTCCATAGTTTGGGTTGCATGGACACAACAACACTACTGTGGATTGTCTTTACTCTGTGTCTCTATGGGTTGACTATAGGCGCTACGGTGTCTATGAGATGTTAACTGTCTCACCTGTTATACAGGAGGTCGTGGGATCGATCCCAACCCTGACGCCTGTATAATTGGAGTTTGCATGTTCTCGTGGTTGTGTGGATTTTTCTCTGGGTCCTCTGGTTTTCCCTCCACATTTAGAAACATGCATTTGAAGTGCTATACATGTCCACATTATAAGCCACTTCATTGAGCTTTCATTTGTGGCCAGGTCACTTCTGAAAACGAACTATATAGCTCAATTAAGCCTTACCTGGTAAAAAAAAAAAGATTGGAATAGTTTTTTGTTTATATGATCCGTAGTTTTGTTTGCGCGATCCCATCGCACTCGTGTAACTTGCCTTTATCTTCCCGCCTTTGAAGATGTGTGCGCATCAGCCTGTTGATGATCTGCTGCGATCGATGGTTCCACCCCAGTCTCGAGGAGCAAGGAGGAATGTCAAAACCGGGTGGCGTGCGATTAAATTTCGATTTAAAGCTTTCGTGACTGCAAGGATTCATCTTCTTTGGTTCTTTCGGTAAAGTCACGTAGAATGAGAATAAAATAATAAAATAACACAATACAATTCTCACGATGTTTCGGTCACAACGCAAGCGGCCGTCTTCAGGTGAAAGGAACAGACCTGTCGGGACGACAGAGCTTCAGACCTGTCGGGACGACATTCTACGTGACTTTACCGAAAGAACCAAAGAAGATGGCGTGCGATTGTTTGCGTCTCGGATGAAGCGTTCATTTTGGACGTCCGCCGTTGTTCCACCGCTTGCCCACAGCGTTTCTCCGCATCTGGGTGAGATTTTAGGATGACTCGAGTCGGCAGGTCTTGCTTGCTGGGAATGTTGTAGAATAACGCCGATGAAAGGGGGAGGTGGTAGACCAATGCAATCGGTGCAATTAAACTTCTTAAGAAATTAATGTCCCAACAACGTAAAAAACAATTGCATGCAAGGTCACCACCGGCAGGGCGCGTGCCAAGTTGAAAACAATATCGGTGAATCCGCGACCTTGAACGTGTTACTTCACCCACGAGCTCTGCAGCTCGTGGTGGCTTCCCAGTGAACTTGCAACGTTGAGGCAACGTTGGCGTTCACTGGGAAGCCAACGTTGCCTCAACTGAGTGAAACCCGGTGAGCTAAGAAGCTCTTCTTCAAGGGCGACTCGGCCAGGAGATGACATAAAAGCATTCCACAATTACGGATTTAAAAAATGTAATAATAGCAATTGTTGTAAATTTACATTCACACTTACACTTGTGGTTTAAACGAGGACAAAGATGGCATAATGGAGATGCCGAGAGACGAAACTGGGGCAGTGACAGACACTCCGGGGCAGCAGCTACGTGAAATGCTTTCGATCCAAATTGTGTGCGAAATCTGTGAACTATTAATAGGCATATTATTGGGTCTTTCGGTAAAGCCACGTAGATAGATCAAATAATAAAAAAAACATTATACAAAAAATAACAATATCACGACGTTTCTATCGCAACACAAGCAATCGTCATCAGGTGAGAAATATCGCGGGATGGGTGTAGCCCAACGGCCAGTGGGAGGGGCGAGAGATGAAATTTGCATGTAAATGTAAGATCGGGTAAATCTTGACAAACAAAGCCGTGGGGGTAGCCATTGTATTGTAAGCTCGGAGAGAGCTCGGCAAGAACATCACCACATGGAGGTAAAAAAGGGTGGCAGACCGCCATTTACTAACACGGCTAACGGTGGCTGTTGGTGAATGTAACTCAGAGAGTTGAAAATAACTGCTAACATAGGTAGGTAGAGAGGGAACATCACAGCCAGTTATGACCTAAACTGGTTAATAACGTCCTTCCAATGATTGCTCAGTTCGTACCCAATTTTTATTAATAGCAATCAAGACGTGCGTCACGTTGTCCCCTCGTTTTACGTTCTATGGGTTTTGTGCTCCCATTGTCGAACGCTCGTCACCCACACCCCCCGTTTTCTCCACGTCCTCTTTCAGTCGTGTTGTGGCGGTTTCTAAATAAAAAGGTTCGATTTCACGGAAAACACAGCCCCGCGTTTCCTGGACGCTTCCCTGCATTCCACCGCGAGAGACCAAGAAAAAAATCCCAACAGAAACGCTCCTACCCACGTCCCAGAAACGACATTCGCGTCGCCGCACATTCACTTTGACGCTCACTCAGACCCCCCCCTCGCCCCGCTCGCCCGGCCTTTAAGAAACTGTTGGGGGCAAGCGCCGTTCCTATTGAAGGTCAACACAGCACACGGGCGGGGGGTGGTGTGACCAGGAACATGCCCGGCCGCCTTCGTTTCCCCAGTGATGACGTGGACACATTGCACTCGGTAGTGCCGAGTCTACCTAGGGGAGGCCCAGGACCGTTTCACAAGTGGGAATCAAACTCGGTTAGTTGGCTTCATAGGGCCGTGCAATAACCACTACACAAATATATTATCTCGTACTCGTATACTCTCCATCTGCGAGACTGATATTAAACTAAACTTTTTTTTATGTTACCAGGTAAAGCCCACCGAGCTGAATAGCTCTTTTTGAGAAGCGACCTGGCCACAAATGATAGCTCAACGAAGTGGCTTATAATGTGGACATTTATAGCAGCCAACTGCTCTAAACGCGTGTTTCTAAATGGAGGGGAAAACCGGAGGACCCGGAGAAACATCCACGCGACCACGGAGAGAACAGCAGGCGTCAGGGTCTGGATCGTCCACAACCTCCTTGTCCACCAGGCGAGGTAGTGAACAGCTCGCCACTGTGGCGGTTGATACAATTCACCCCTCCCCGTGCCACAATACTCCAGTCTCCTGTCCACGTGGAGAAGAAAACCACGAGGGAAGAATCCCTAACACCAGCATCGATGACCGCAGCAGCAATAATAATAATAATGACACCGAGGCAGCAGCTCAACATGAAACAGTTTTATTTTCCTGAGAAAATGTACAAGAAACACAGACGGACGGCTGACAATAGCACGCCACACCCATTAACGAGCCCTGAACATCAGGAAAAAACACAAACACACCTACAGGCAGCACACACACCACCACGACAGGCGGTGAGCACACCCCTATCAGGCAACATACATACACGAGAGGAATACACACACCTCACAGGAACAAAACCATTACAGGTAGCACAAACCGTACAGGCGCGCGCACACACCTATACAGGCGACAAACGTATAGGTGGGGCACACTTACAGGACCACACGCGTGGAGGTCGTCGGCAGCACACCGGCCTACAGACACCTGTGCGAGTGACCTTGTAGGAGTGCGGCACCCAGCGACTCAATGTAAACAAGACCTGAGTGGTTCTATTCTTCCTCCCAGTTTTGCGCTCGATTTTTTTAAATTAATTTTTTATTAAAGAATTCACAGGCCCACAATACCCCACCACCCCTGCCCCAAGCCTGTGTGTCCAACAAGCTACATAAACCTCTCCCTTGCTAAAAACCTGCACGGGTAAAAATGTGTTAAAATGTACAGGTCATTTAAATAATCTCTAAAAGCGACTGCAATAGCAATCAATACGGAGGAAAGAATCGTAATTCGTAAATCTATTGCGCACACACACACATCCCCAACGACCCCAAGTCAAGCTGCTGGTGCTAGTGCTGTTGGCGAGCACTTATTTGAGGACAGAAAGTTCGGTTAAGGGGGACGGTGGCGTCCTGCCACCCTCGTCTGCCCCAGCACTGGTGGCATTCTAGTCCAGGTGCACCTCCGGAAGGCTCGACACGGTTCAAGGCAAGGGTGTCCGCCGATGCGCTGCCGCCAGGAATCGAAATCGGGTCACACTGCGCGCTCGCACGTCTGTGTTTGTGAGCCTATCACACACACAGCCGCACAAAGTGTCACACCCAGCTTCATACACACATTAAGAATTGTACTTGTACAGCCACACACACACAACAATGCCTTTAGACTGTGCAACTTTTGTTCTCAGTCACACGCGCACACACACAAAGAGAACGCCTTTGAAAACTGCACGTGGGAGCGGAGTGCCGGGCTCGCGGCTCCCTCGTGCCAATGCTTTAGCAGCCACCACCACCACGTAGCCCCCGCGGGGTGGGGGGGTGCTTCCGTCGCAATTTAATTACAATTAACTCGGCGATCGTTGGGGAGAACCTGTATTTCTCCTATCACAATTGATGCGTGAGCGCGAGAAACTGTATTACATTATTTTAGATTCGTACACGTCATTGTAGCAGCCACTAGAGGCGCTATAACACCGCAATGTAATAAAAAAAACTCCATTGAATCATGAGCCGCCCCGAATTGTCGTGACGTTCACGATGGGGTGGGGGGGAGGAGAAAGCTAGTATCGATGTCGTGAAGTCAACCAATTTTGAAAATTAACCACGAGATCACCACAAACCTCGGGTTCTTGCCGTCCCGTCGCATCGCCTCGGCACGACGGAGCGAGACGGTTCAAGACGCTCTCCACCAGACCGACCACTCCCCCCCACCACAGCTCCAGTAGTGCACGGCTCTAGGGCTGGCAGCCTCACCAGCTGATCAGACCCCTTGTCCACTGCCAAAGAGCGACGCCAGCGCGGGGTAGTTTTTGCTCCCCGCTGGTTATTTAGAGCCCAGTCATGGCCAGACTATGCGCGGGCTTTCCTAATCACAAGGCTTCCCACTCGGGGCCCAGTAGGGCCAGGGGGCGGGGATAATGGTACGTTTGTTGCGATGTGCGTGAGATGTGCGTGAGATGTGCGTGAGATGTGCGCGAGATGTGCGCGAGATGTGCGCGAGATGTGCGCGAGATGTGCGCGAGATGTGCGCGAGATGTGCGCGAGATGTGCGCGAGATGTGCGTCAGTACGGGGTCGAACGCAGCACCGCCATCTACCCCGCGACTCGTCGGCATGGCTCGGCTTCTGCAGTGGAAAAACCACCCGGCGGATCCCGGGCCATGCCGGGCTGGCTCGGCACAGCCCCGGCTCAACGGCGGAGCGGGAAAGGGGCGCGTCCAAACTCTGTCCACACGCGAGCGACAACGGTGTCGTGCGAGCCTCGGGCTGCCGTACAACACGCTTTAGTTTCGACGTCGGGGGGTCAAGTCTCGCTCAGAAAGGTCACTTGGCCGCCCTCCGACAGAACAGCAGAGTTCACGACGAGAGCTTTTCTCCTTTATCATCTTCTTCAAATCGCTGGTTTAAAAAAAAAGTCTCCGCATGTAATTGTTGAAATGTTCGGAACCGCAGGGCGCCGTCACCGCCTTCCCTGGTGGTGACGCGTGCACCCTTCGCCTCCTGCCCCACCAATCATGCCGCCCCCTCGCCATCACTGCAGATGTAGCAGGAGTCGCAGTCCGCAAGGTCAGGGGTCACGCCATTCCAGCAAGGTCAAGGGGGGGGTCACTCTTCCCACAAGATTGAAGGTCAGGCGACTTGCAGGACGAGGCGGTTCTCGTCTTGCGCATCAAGTTCCCCTCGCGCTTCCTACAGATCGCACGAACAAAGAGATTTGAAAACATTTATATAAAATCGATACGTCACCGGTTACATAACAAGAGCTTAATTAAGAACACACGCACGCACAGACCTGCACTCCCCCACTCGCCGCATCATCATCAACAGCCACCACTTGCGGCGCCTCTTGCGCAAGGCACGATCCACCACGTCGATGGACGGGGTCCCCGCGAGACGCCGCTGCTCGCTCACGCCATCCCCCCCATCCCCGCGCTCGTGCGTGAGTCACGGCTCGCCCATTCCGCTCGCGCCAACAAACGCCGGCAGCGAGAAACAACAACAGCCGGGGCCCCCGCAACTTTCCCGTGATGAGTGATCGTCGTCAGAAACACTTCCTGAATCCCAGAGCTACAAAAACACACAAAGTCATCGGTGTTGGCCAAACATCCCGAGGTAGCAGCATCCCCCTCAGGTCTGACTCAAGTGTGGCCTTCCCGGACAAATACGTCATCGCGATTTCCAAAGTCGCTGGGTTAAATCGTCACGTAGCGAACGAGTATGTTGGATGTGGTGTGCTCGGATCAAATTAATCGCCGATCAACTTAAAGCCCAGCAGCTGCTTTTGTTGGGTGGACGACCGGTTTCGGGGTCATGACCTCTGACCACAAACGCCTTCCTCAATGTTTACAGCTGCAGGTTGTAACAAAGCGAGGCTTAGCAGCTTCTGTAGGAAAAAAGAAACTCAGCCGGGGAAAGGCGCAGAACTGAGCCACAGCGATGGGGAGAGTGCAGGCGAGCTCAGTCTCGAAAATAAACGCGAACGCCATCCACAGCTTCACTTGTCATTCAACGCTTTCCAGCTCGCTGGTCGACTGGAACAGGCTGCACGCGACTAGCAGTGGCCACACGGTCATAGCGAGAGGGGTATACTGGATGTGGTGTGCCAGGTGCAAAGATAGCGTCCGGCTCACAGAACCAGAGCGACCCAGCTGAAACTAAGCCCCCGTTGGGACGGAAGGGTTGCTTGCATTCCGTCTACAAGAGTGAGCTTGCGTGCGGTGCACGTTAGAGTGTATGATGTGGTTCTGACCACCCACCACCCCCTTGTGCACCGTGCCGGCCTTCATTAGATGCTGCTCACTAACAGCACTTGTGGCAACAGTCTAAGGGATATTTGTCTTTGAGTGTGAGAGTGCGCACGAGCGGGCGAGCGTGCGCGTAGGATCTCGTTGCTTTGTTGCGTCGTTGGGGTTTTATTTATTTCTCGCGGTTGAACGCGGGGAGGCATCCAGGAAACGCGGCCTTATTTTCGTGAAAGGAAGGGAGTCATTTTTAGAAACCGCCACGACCATGACACGACTGACCGAAAGGGGAAACGGAGAAACGGGCGATGACTGTGCCCCGGGACACGCAACAGTTTGTACAACAACAGGAACACCGGACTCATCGATGCGCTCCAAATACAGCAACAACGTAGGCCAGCCAGCACAACCAACGCCATCCACGAACGTTCACCGGCTTCACCACGCTGGTCACTGCACTTTGGTGAACGGTGGATGGGCCCCTGAACCAGTTCCGGTATCGGTTGCGTCCGATGCCAGCCGTGGCTGGGAATCCAACCCAACTGCGTGCGTAATAATGCAGGTGTAGCCGCGGACGTTTGCTGCACAATTCACATGCATCCTATTTTTTTATGTTTTTGCAAGTAAGTGGAACTGAAACGACCAATGTCTAATTTCGTTCAACCAAAAGCGGCTCCAATGGGGAAGCGGTAAATTAACTTGCAGGTCGCAATGCCAATGACGACGACGACGACCTTTGATCCAATTTTGTAAACATGGGAAATGATTCAATAGTTATGCAAATCAAAAACCACAACATTTGTTTCGTGCATTTGTTAATCTTAAGTTTCATTTGAATAATGTTGCGTGGTGAGCAAACCACCCCCACGCAGGTTCAACTGCTGATCACGGCTATCATCAGTGGCGAGTGACAGCTGAACCAGTCATAGGCCACCCCCCAACCCCCGTCGCAAACCTGCACTGACCAGCGTGGTGAAATATGGTCAAATTATTATTTGACCGTACACGGGTTGGCCTGCTTCCATCCTCGTGTGCAGCTGTGTTTTTAACCACAGATGCACATGACCTTTAAAAACCAGGAAAGAGCCGACTAGATAAACACGCAGCAGATACAAAGACCAACATCCCCCGTGCAGCCGTACAGACTTGTTGGGACAAGTGCTGTTCACGAGTAGCACCTATGAAGGCCGACACGGCACACGAGGGGGTGGGTGACCAGCACCACGCCCGGCCGCCTTGGTCTCCCTAGTGGCGATGTTTACTACACATCGCACAAGGAACCCATTTAAGACCGAGTGGACCAGAACCAGTTCAGATAATCGTCACTGGGTGCTGGCCGTGAGTGGGAATCGAACTCCGATCGCCGGAACACGCGCAGACATACAAACACACAGTATCGATAGAAGATCTTTACAAAATGTTCTGCCACCATCGCCAGCGAGCAAGATTGTTGTTTATATGCAGGTGAGAGTCCATTGTGCCCAGCGCAGGTGAGTGATAAGCAGGAAGGAACACAGGGTACCGGCACGGCATGTTCAGGAATGCAGCATATCTCAAGTCTCTCCCCATCATCAATGCACACCTATCACCGCACGTGGTCCTGGACTGCACTCGAGGAAACCGGATCAAGGTACGGTCAAGAGTCGCTCTCAACACCACATCACCAGCAGCAGCCATGACTACAGAAGTCACCCAACGATACCGCACCTATTTATTTGCAGCCCTGAGCCAGTGGCGGAAATTACACATTACTATGACAAACGTTTTATTTCCCCGCAAATTGGTACTCATTTTATTGACTTCCGGAGGAATGATGAGCAGAATAGATCCCCCCCCCCCCTCCCACACCACAACCAAGGTTTGAACTCTCAACCTTCGGATAGCGAGTGGCCCCGCTCTGTTGCCGGGATGCCCGGCCGCTTACACAGAGAGAGAGAGGGGACAGTCAGGGGGAGTCTGGCAGAGGCGATCCACAGCCTTAGCTGGGACAGGGGACGAGGGAGTAGACAGCACGGACCGGCTGTGGGGGGTGGGGAGAGTTCCAGACCATAAGAACAGCAGAGGAGTAGGAGCAACCTCCACACAACAGAAGTAACTTCTACTTGCTATTTTGCTTTGGGTCCCATAATTTACGTGCGAAATAGCCTTGCCAATAACATCGTGCAATGCAGCAGCAATTGTTTCACGAGTCGAGGCTCCGCTGATGAAACCGGGAGTGTCAAAAAAAAACCTGTCCGCAGTGGACAGAGGTCGTTTCCTTGTTGCAACAAAAAATAGCTTTGGGCAGGCAAGAAGACGCCGATTTAATGGATAAATGTCTGCTGGGGCAAACAATTGAGGAAGCGAACCCGAGACCGCAGCTTCGCGATCGGCAAACAACGCGTTTCTGGGAAGGAACGAGAGAATGAATGGGTGGCCGGGTGTGGGCAGCTGAACTGTTCATGTTTGGGGAAACGTTTGGAACAACGCGGTAAAGTTTCGACAGCGTGACCGCGTGCCCACGCCGTGTGGATAAATACCGGCAAAATACATATACCACGGTACGATAATAACCACGCAGGTCCCTGCCAATCCACTGCTGGATGGAGGTCTTTCACACGCCGTGGCGGTCATGGTAGGTTTAGAGAGGGGCACAGTGGTGGTTGTTTTGACCATACTTCCCCACGACAGTCAGTGCGGGTTGAAGTAGTGGCGAGGCAAAGGAACAGTTTAGATATTACTCGCCACTGACGCGAGCCGTGGATGAGAATGGACCTACCCCACCGTCAGGTTTGTGGTGTTCATAGCGTAATACACCAACAAAGACCTCCCGTATAGACATTAAAACAGACTGTTTGGGCAAGTGCTGTTAGCGAGTACTAACAACCATTCTGCCATAAACTAAGATGAATGGACTGGCACCTTCTCTTAAGGCCGTCCATCCATCTCGGCACGACCGCAGTGCAGACCCAGTCAGCAACACCAGCCTGCCATGAGGCTCGTGTTCTGGATCATGATCAATCCACTGCTGGATGTAGGCCTCCCAAAAGCTGTCGCCATGTCGCGGTCTTGCGTTGTGACGACGCGAGCCAACACATCCTACCGTCCATAGCGCTGCCCTAAAATTACAATGTATATATTTTTTAAAAAATAGGCGACGTTTCGGGCACTGGCCCTCCTCTATAACGAAGCTTTATTGACGAGTGCGTTGGGAACTACTGCAAACGCAGCAGCATCGCTGCAATGTCGTTCTATACAAGGGGTCTGCAAACAAAATATGAGTAGTAAAAAAAGTATGTACAAAAGTCAATATTTAAAGAGCCCCAATACAAACAGAACGTCACGGAGCGGTCCGTACAGAGCCGCAAAGATTCCCTGCCCGGGACCCGCGTTATCTACTCCCCCCCAGTGGCGATTTGCCCACGTCCGCTAGAGGTCGCTGCGCAGCACGCAGCCCCGGGCTGGCGCGCCATCCACCGTGCCCCAATGTCCTCAACAACAATAACATGTTGTTGTTGTTGTTGCTGCTGCTGGGTCTCTTCTGCCACGAATTAATTACAAAGACGCGTCACGGCATCCACAGCGCACCACCGACACGACATCGCCCCCCTCCAGGATGGTAATCACAAATCGCTTTGTTGTGTATTTAACATCAATGGCACAGCTGCGGAGCAGCGCTGGGCGTAAAGGAGAAAAAGACCTCCCATAAACACCCTGCGCTCTATTTTGGGATCTTATGATGGTGGTGGGATGACTACTCGTCATCATCGGCCGTGTTCATTCCACTGCTGGATGAAGGCATCCACAAGCCGCCACCCTCTCCCGCGACGCGGTAAGTCCGGGTGGGTAAAGGCGGAGTGAACCTGAGATTCCGTCTCACGATCCCCGACTCATTTTCATTCATTGCTCAGCTCGCGATTCAATCCCTGATTCAATCCAATCGCCGTTCGATGCCATTACAATTCCCTACAAGAATCACGTGTGGGTTCAATTCCCGGGATGATTAAATTACCAAACAATTGAAACCTCAACGTATGACCATTCTGCAATAATTAAATCCCATCCGTTATAATTCCCGATTCAACCTCGTCTCATTCCATGTTTATTCCAATTCCAGCCGTGACTATGCCGTTTAATCATCGACTCAACCTAACCTCAGCTTCACACTTCACGCAATTTGCCACATTCTCAATCATTGATTACCTACCATCTCTTTTATTAGTCCCACCAATGATCCAATCCCATCTCATTTAAAATATATATTTTATTATTTAACGCCAGTCCAAGCCCAAACCAAATTGCAAGCTCAGCCATATTCCATGCCAGAATCAATCTCCAAAATTAAAATTCGATCCCGACCTCAGCTCGATCTGACCGTGGACTACATTCCACCACCGATTCAACCCACACCTCATTCAATTCCGCCCCAGGTTGAAATGCACACACAACCACAATGGCCCATCGCGGCCCCAATCCCATCCCCGACCTCCGGGACGCATCCCCCCCTCCCAATCCTCACCCCATCGTGGCGGCTGTACATCACGAGTCGGCGCAGCAGCACGGCCCCGTGCGGAGGCGCCTCACCGCCTCCTTGATGAGGTTGCCGCTCAACAGCAACTCCCGCAGCATCTCCCGCGGGTCATCCAGCACCTCCTCCTCGTCATCCTCCTCACCACCCCCGTTCTCCCCGTCTCGTCCACCCTTTCGCCTCCTCGCGCCACCGGCACCGGCCGGCCCTCTCGCAGCGCCGCGCCCGGTCGCGCCGGCGGCCCCAGACCCCGCGGGTGCCTTTGACGGGACGCAGTAGGGGGATGGCCGGCGACCGAGGCTCCTCCGGCCCGTCCGGACCGCCTTGAGCCGCAGAGTCTCGCCGAGGCGACGCACCAGCTCGTCCATCTCCTGCGATGGTGCGCGATCTCCCGTCACGGGCGCCTTGAAGGGCTCGTAAGACTCTCGGCAAGGCATGGTGACTGCTGCTGCTGCTGTTGTTGTTGTTGTGATGGGGAGCGAGAGCGCGAGTGAACCTTCCTCTGGGAGTGGCCGGCGCGGGTCGCCGGCTCAATGAACAGCGGCTCCGCCCAAGGCCGCCTTTTATACCGCGTCACGTGAAGGCGGGGCTCGTCATGTTAATCGCACGTGGGCGGGTCTTGTCACGTGCATGTCTATACGGTAAATATATAACAATGGGGACGTACACATAAACAATCGAATTGTAAATGTTGTGGGTTTACTCTCCAACGCGCCGGTGTGCTGAAGTAGTAACGAATTGCCACGTCTTATTTGCCTTACCTGTACTTTGCAATGCTATCGTGTGTCTGTACTGTTCGTTGCTGTTACGTTCTTACCCGACCCTCCTGGACATCTGTGATGAAAAAGAGCTTTAGAGCTCATCGGATTCCTTCTGCAGTCTAATTAAAGATTCTGATCTGAATTTTTTTTTTTAAAAAACGTGGCTGTGTTGGGTGGTGACGGGTTGAACGACGACCTTTATTATGTATGCACATATGTTGCACTTCTTTCGCACAGTACGTAGCCAACCGTGCTAATCGGAGATGCAAGAGAGTGTACGTTACCCGGCTCGTCATCGCCAAACACTCACGTCGGCGAGCCTGATCGTGCCCGTCTCGTGGTCCTTTGACGAGGATGTGAAGCCTACAAATATATATATCTACGTGTGAAAAGAGTTGCGCATTATTATCTGCGTTTCATCGGATGAGAAGCCCACTGAGATGCGCACTACTCCGTGTGGGGCTCAGGCTGAGAGAGTCCACGCCGTCGGCTCTGTCCACGCCGCTAGAATTGAATGGGGGAGCGATCGCTGTCGTGAAGGTGACCCAACACGAACGCGATTTTAGTGTCGAGTTATCCATGACAAAAAACAAGTTGGATAACACGGGCGAGTCGCAGTATTTATGGTCCAGTAGGGACGGGTCACAACGTCACAACAACAAACGATACAAACAGGTCCCTGCAGGGTGGGCTGGTAGGACAAGTCTCTGCGCTGTCTATTGCTGATTTTACACCCAACAGCACGAGATTTCACTTCGTAAAAGTATTGAAAGGGGACGGACGGACGGACACATTAATCTATTGTAGGCTGGTACACTCAGTTTACAACTTCGTTCCTACCAGTAAAACACACGATACACAGTGCGTCTAGCAAAGGTTAGCAAATCACTCAAAATATATATTTACAAATACAACTAAACAATTTTTATTTTAGCAAGTAAGGTCCACTGAGCTATTAGCTTCCTTTTTTTCAGAAGCGACCTGGCCACAAATGATAGCTTTACGAAGTGGCTTACCACGTGGACATTTATAGCAGCCAAATAATCAAACTAATCTAAACGGTCGTGGCCTCGAAGGTTTATGTGGGTGGGTTGAACGTTACAGTCCAGTCAACATCAACTTTCAAATGTACGAACTGAGTAAAAAATAATAGTGAATACTCTTATTGCGCCGTATGGGTTAAAGTGTCGTCTCCAGCTCTAATCATTCACTCCATCTCTCGAGCTGCTAAAGAAGGGCCATTGCTTGAAACATCTCACCTCTTCAATGGACCTCCTTTGCCAGTACCAAAATATGAGAATGGGTTTTCCTTTCTTATCTGGCAACAACACAGGCGTAAAGATGTTAAAACACCAAACTGAAACCTTTCACAAGGAATCATGCCTGCATTAACCACAATGCTTGTGGTCAAAATGCAAACAAAAACACACTCTGAGAATATATGATGCATTGTCTTTGAAACTGATTAGTCCACACGAGAGACAGCGTTCTTTTGAGCCTCGTCTCAAACGGTGTTAGACCAGAGGACGCCAAAGACAATGCATATATTATCAGAGTATGTTTTTTGTTTGCATTCTGACCACAAGTATTGTGGTTAATGCAGACACGATTCCTTGTAAAAGGTTTCAGTTTGGTGTTTTAACATCTTAACACCGGTTTTGTGGCCAGAAAGGGGGAAAGCTATTCCCATCTCACCTCTCGTAAATGTTTTTTTGTGTTCTTTTCACGTGGCCGCTATTGTTATTGACATGCAACGTCGTGGTCATGTAAATAGAGGGACGTGTAAATTTTTATTTAAAGCTTTCGTGACTGCAGGGATTCACATTCTTGGTTCTTTCGGTAAAGTCACGTAGAAGGGAAACAATAAAAGAATAAAAATATGAAACAATAAAATTCTCACGACGTTTCGACTGCAACACAAGCAAGAGGTGTGAAAACCGCCACTTTTTTCAAATTTTCTTGCTGTGGTTTTCACACCTGATGATGATTGCTTGTGTTGCAGTCGACACGTCGTGAGAATTTTATTGTTTTATATTTTTATTATTTTATTGTTTCCCTTCTACGTGACTTTACCGAAAGAACCAAGAATATATAGAGGGACGTGGTTTACGGTGATGTGGTGGGCGGTCCGTTATGTGACGTCACGCGAGAAGGGGTGTGGCCTGATTGCGGTGTTGGCGTGTGGTTGGACTGTGCCGGCAGTGGGCGTTGTTTATGTTGATAGGGTGGGCGGTTTGTTCGGTGAAGTCACGCAAAAAGGGGTGGGGCCTGATAGCGGTGTTGGGGTGTGATTGGACGGTGCCGGTAGTGGGCGTGGTTTTGTTTCCACCCACTTTTGTGGGCGGAGCTCAGAGGAGTCCTTCTCGCACCCACCGCTCGCTGCCTGCAAGAGATACAGCAACACTGGATACAATGGGGCGACGTTTCGGACAATGACCCTTCTGAATTGTGTGCCGCTGCCAACGCAACAGCAGCAGCGGGAACTAATTCATAAGACACCATCGGGGCCTGCAAAGGGTTCACGCTCTATTTGATGGGCGGTTTCTTTTTCAATTTCCGCGTGGGCGCCGTATCCCTCCGCGTCCGTTACGAGTGAAGCGGCCGCCCCTTTTGTTTACGTTTGAATTGTTTGCCCCCGTTCGCGTTTACAATTTACGCAAAGCGGCAATGTTGAATTAAAACTGCGTTTTGTTTTGTTCGCGAGCCGCCGCGATTGACATTTCTCGACGAACATTCCGAACTAATTTTTTTTCCCCCGAGCGCAAAATCTCGAATAAAAACACCGCCCGCCGCCGCTTGCCTTCACCAACCGGCGTGGTGAAGTATGGCTCAGTAACCCCAAGACGGCGCGTGTAGGGACATCATCCAGCAGTGGATTGAGGCTGTGACCGTGGCCCCGCACGGATATTCACGGTTCGGGTCCGGCTAACCGCCCCAATTAGACCATGCCGACGTCGTGGTACAAATGTTGTTCTTTAAAACTCAATGACGTGAGAATTTAAAGTTTCTTTGCAAGCCGCGTGCTGAAGTCGCCTGGTGCCACACAGAGAGACAGCTACCGCTGGGGGTGCCCCAGATGAGACTAAAGGCGTTTATGAGATGCCGTTTTGCATTACGAATGTCGGCGTCGGTAATTCGACGTCTGTGTGCCGGTGACGATTTTTTGAACCGGTCTTGGGCCTCCCCTAGGTCGACTCAGCCTCAAATGAGCACCTGGTGCGATGTGTAAACATCGCCCACTGGGGAGACAAAGGCGGCCGGGCGTGATGTTGGCCACCCACCCCTTCGTGTGCCGTGCCGGCCTTTATAGGTGCTCGCTAACAGCACTTGCCCCTACAGTCAGTTCAGTTCATTTATTAGGTAAAGCCCTGTGAGCCATGCGGCTCTTGAATCGGATGCAACCGCAACAAACAAAAACATGAACAAGAAGAAACATCTTAAAGTGACTACGCGCAACAGAAAAATCCAGGAAAAAAACCAGCAAAGTCTTCAAGTCTACACGGGAGATCTTTGCACCACTGACAACGCAATCGCAAACTTTCCATGGTGTTGTTTGTTATTATTTCTGCGGACGTGCCTGCGCACGCGGGCAGTGCGGGTTCCTGGGTGGGTGCGGGGCCGGGTCGGGGTAGCGCGCGCTCACGGCCGCTGTTTATCTCGCGCCCTGAGCGGCTGCACCGTGCTGGGTACAGTGTTTACGATTCTCGGAAAACTCTTTAACTCTCCCGCCCCTCTTTCTTTCTCCCCCCCACCTCTATCTGTCTCACCTCTTCAAAGCCTAAAATTAGACCCCAGCCGTGAAGGGGTAGAGGAGGCACACTCCATCAATGAGGGCTCTTCTATGGGAGCCACTATGACCGCTGTACTACCACCTCGCACAATGAATCACCCCCCCCCCCCCCCCCCAGGCTGCTGGGGGACTCATAATAATGCACAAACACAAATGTTCTTACTTATGAAGGCTGGGACAGGGGGGCTCACGACTGGCTGCACGATCAACACCACCTTGGCCACCACTACCAACAACTACCAAGTCTACCACTACCAACTACAGCTGCCATTACCACCGCTATCGTCACAATTCAGGGCGCTCTTGCAATGGGAGCGCAGTGTCCCAGTTTCTTTAACGATCTTGCACGTGTCAACAAATACTCTTGTCCTGATACAGCAACCACGCCAATCACCACCACCACACGCTACCACCTCGCAGGACCCCATACAAAAGGCACAGGGGGCTCACGCGGCCTCTTGTGACATTCCACGGCCCCTGAGTGCGTAGCAACAAGCCCCGAGTTGGCTGTCACGCAAATATTTGTGATCTCCATCGCGGCTGTTTGTGCGTTACGCGATCCTCCGGAGATGCATCGCTGCTGTTTTATTTTCCTCCCCAGGCGTTGAGATTCCACGAAATCCACGTGCGTCGTGTCGTTTTGGGTCACACCGAGTCTGGATACTTTACTCACGACGATAGGTTCTTGAATTGGAGGTTTTATTAGTCACAGTTAAATGATCATTTACAGCCCCTTTGTCAATCCACTGCTGGATGAAGGACCTCGCTACACTGGCTTGGTCTTGGGGATCGTTTGACCATACTTCACTACGCTGGTCAGTGCTGGTTTGGCGAAGCGGGGGTGGGCAGGACCGGCTCAAGTATCACCACTGATGTTGACCGCGGCCAGGAATCGAACTCTGGAGGTCTGATTTATTATGCAGTGCGCTAATCACTTAATCACTGCGCCACCAATCAAAATGTTTACATAGCCTTGTGTACACACCGTGGACTTGCGTTGGTGC